GTGGGTGCGCGAAAATACTTTGACTCGTGTTGTGCTACAGTAGACATACTGGAGTGCAAAAAGCATTATCTAAATCATCTGTTCTATGTTAAAAATAAAACACGAATAACTTATTCGAAAACTAGGAAAACATTACTACTTCAACATCAGAAAATTTAAATTAGCACGCCTTTTGTTTATTAGCAAATATCGTTGAATTTATATTGTTGAATATCTCAAACCGATGTTTTTAAGATAATTTTGATGGTTTACTTTGATAAAATACAATTTTACAGTGATATTTTACGCCTTCTTGTAAAACCTTCAATATATTATTTCATAGGGGTTTTAAGGAAATCTCCCTTAAAATTCCTAAAAAGTCGTAGTAGCCAGGAAAATCCGGTAAAATTTGCACCATATTATTCAAAGAATTTAAATTATCAACATCCACTTCCACAATTGCTCAGAGAATCCTTTACAATGGCGCAATAACTCGCCAATTTGTCCCCCTTGTGCCAAATTACCCCCTCAACTCAAACTCGACAACATAAAGCATGTTACGCCCCCTCTAATAGGGCCAGTCCCCTCAAAGACCAACAAACTTCATTGTTGTGTATGAATTGTTACATATTGTATTTAAACGTCTTTGGCGAGTCATCTGGTATAAAATGTCCTTCGACGCTGGATCGTTGAACCCGAGACTTTTAAGATGGTGCCATTGACTTTGAAAAATTGAGTAGACTTTTCGTCCTTATTTCTCGAATATTCTTTAGAATGAGTTTTATATCATATCCAGTTCTACTTAGTGCTTACTCAATGCTTTCTTTTATGTTTGGATGGGTTTTACAGCCTAAACTTCACTCTTAGTAGTAATAATATCAGAGAACAATCAGTACGGTATCTTACGGCGAATGCAGAGTTGTATTTTGTTTAAAAGTTATTGGTTGACGTAAACTAGTGAACAAATACATCGTTATTTTGCATTGTTAGCCTACTTTTGAACTTTTGTGCCAATCTTATTGTGTATGAATGACGAAAGACGAAGGAAGAATTTAGTATTCTTCTAATATTTAAAACATTGAATATCAGTACATAGAACTGCGTATAAAAGGTGTCCCGTGGGTACTACCAGAAATTTAGAAATGTGTTTAATGGGTCTAATTATGGGTTTAATAAAACAAAAATCATGAATAGCTTTTTTCAAAAGCGACTTATTACGATTATTATCATTTAGTTTATTTGTGTTTTAAGTTTTTATCTTAAAAGCTGTTCAAGATACCTTTATGACATTTAAAGTATACGTTTTTGATTGAGTCATAAACTATTTGTATAGACAAATAATTACTAGACATATTTTTTGTATGTTTTAATTGAGGCATTTTTTATTTGTAAGAATTAAATTACTAAAATGTTGGTGATTTAATGATCATTTTAATTTATTTAAAATCTTATATTAAACAACACATGAAGTCAAATCGGGAGGGTAATAAAAAGCTGATATATATAACGATTTTAGCGAATTTCCCATATAGGGAATAAGCTATTACCGTAGTACTCATAGTAAGACCTGGACGCGGGACAGATTTTTTTTTCGTTTTGAGGTCCCTAGAGGCCAAAAACACCATTCGTTCAGATTCATATATATATATATATATATATTTATATATTTATATATATATATATATATATATTTATATATTTATATATATATATATATATATTTATATATATATATATATATATGTGTGTGTGTGTGTGTGTGTGTCCGTTAGCACGATAACTCGAGCAAAAATGATCCGATTTTGATGAAATTTGGTACAAACGTGTAAACCTACGTTTATTCGAACGAGTTAGCGATCCAGCATGATCGGATCATGGGAACGGGGGTTTACGGGGGTTTTATGGGGTAAAAATAGGTTTTTCCCATTTTTGACCCAAAAAACATAAAATTTTGCAATTTCTTTCCAAACCATTTTGTAGAGCTTAAAAAACAAATAATTTAGTATATTGAAGCGTTATTATGCGCCTAATGGTTACGGAGAAAATTCCAAAAAATTGTAAATTTAAAATTCCCATGTTATTCTTATGGAGAATAAGTAAACTGTTGTAGTTTGCTTGTTTATGAACATATTTTGATCAAATTTGGAAAAAATTTTTATTTCTTACTATTAACATTTTACAAAAAAAAAAATAGTTTTACCCTCCCTGATGCAGCAAACCTAAGTACTTGTTAAAGTAATTCTATTTAAATTGGGAATAAATGCTATATTTCTAAGTAGACATTTCAGTGTACAACCAATCAGTCAAATGGAAATTCGCTTAGTCTGCAGGTTTGCTGCGGCGGAGGTATTTACATTATGCGCCTCAAAATCATCTTTAAATAATACAAAAATTACGATTCAAAGATTTTATCTTGAACAGAAAGTGCTGCTTCATGCGGAGTATTCGGGAACTAACACATATATGTGATCTGCATTGCCGACAAATAGCAGCTGAATGAAGAAAACTGTCACAAAGTCAATGATACTGTAGAGTGTAATGTATTTATAGTTATTTGGTATGTGTAAAAAGCTTGCTTAGTAACTGAGTATTTAAAGCATCCGCCTTAAGATATAAAGGTCACAGAATTTGATTCTAAGACATACAAAATATAAACAAAAAATATCAACAAAATATCAAGTTATTTATAATTTTTTTCGACAATGATGTACTATTTATAATTCCACCTAGCTTTGTGCATATTTATGCACCACATTTTTAAATTAACTGTTTATTTATTTGTTTTTAAGGATTTTCTTAAAAGGTATTTACAAGGTTATGTACAACACGATTTTTCAATTTCCAAAAAGCCAAGTACGTATATTCTTTATTTTTACACCTTCTAGGTAGTTTACACCTTGGATATTTGTGTCCTAAATAGGCAATACCTTATACATTTTTATTTTCACTTGGCTATTTAGTGAATTTTAATTTGTACATTTATTATTTCATTGTGTCGTTACGCTATTTTTTGTTTTACAGTAGGTAGTGGGATGTACTAATGTACCATTTGTATTTTTTTTAATTTTACCACACTATGCACTTTTTTGTATGATTTTATATTTCACTTGACCATGTAACCTATTTAATTTCCAACAAGATATAAACCTTTAATATACTCATGTAAAAATAATTTGAAAGGCTTTCTACAATGATTTCTGTTTTAGATTAAGATATGTACGCATGAACTTTTTTTTTATTTTCATGAGTGGTGTACCCATTAACATATTTTTACTAAGCTAGATACGATTTCAATAATTCATTTCCACCAGGCTACTTACAGTATTGTTATCACAAAATAAATAATATGCACCTACATTTTAATTTATCACTATTATTTACTATTTCAATTATATTTTATTCCCACTAGGCTTTGTAACATTCATACTTTTTATTCAGGCTGTATACAATATCAATTTTGTCTCCACTAACTATTATCAATTTTTATTTTAACTTCTCTGCGTTCCATATATACATTTCCATACTAAAAATATACATTATAACCTCCAAACCACAAACTTACACTACTATCACAATCACAGAGTTCAACAGTTATAGGTAATAGAATAGTTAGCACAGCTAATGTTTGTCTAACATAAATACTGTATGATAACTCAGTGACTTCCTCAATTCTCTCTGGTAATGTACGGCAGTAGGTTACTGCACCATCCGCTCGTGATTTGACATGTACAAAATATGGTAAGAACTCTTCCTTATTTGTCATTTTACATTGTAAAAGACCGACAGCATAATAGACCTACTGTTTGATGTAGCGACACAATATCAATTCTATTAAGTACCCTTGCTGTTGCAAAAATGTTCAATGTATTTGACGATTGAAATGTATTATTGGTGTATAGTTGGAGATTGAAAATGGAGCTTACAACGCTCAATAGATATCAAATATATACATTGTACATATTTATACAATTGCAAGTTTGATGTATTGCAAGTGTGAATGAAAAATGAAGTGGGATTTTGTAGAAGCAAAGCCGTAAAATTCTTTTCTTTTTGTTATTTAACAAGGTTTTTAAATGGTCGCCATTTTTATCTATTATTAGGATATTTTACGGTCATTGGACTCGTATTTGAAAGTGCATTAAATATATATTCTGTAAAATTTGTATTTAGTTACTCAAATTAATCATGGAATCGACTTTAAATAATTTAAAAGACCGCCATTTTGAAATTTTAAATTTTTTCTAAGTTTGATTTGTTAATAAAATAGTATCTTGCACCTTAAAATACACATGAAACTTTTTTTCCATGGAAAATTCACACATGAAACTTTTTTTCCATGGAAAATTCAAATAACATAATTTATGTAAATAATCCAAAATGGTAGATATCTGGTGAATAACGCGTTTTTTGGGGGAAAATGTCACGCTTGATTTACTCTTTATTTCGATCATAGAACCATTTCCCGGTGTTTGGCTGTTTACTTACAGCACAACTTGTATAGGGCTTGCATTGAAGCAGTCGGTTGCCGAGTTAATGCTAGGAAAAGTCAGTAGCTTTTTTGTGCGTTGTAACTGGGACAGCTAGCTATCAATAAAAGCTAATTGCGTTTTACATAAAAAAAACTAATGTTCCTGGCTAACGAAAAAGCTGGTCATAGTAACAAAGTTAAACAAGCCATTTTACACATTGCTAGGTTAAAACAAGCATCATCATGCCACTATCTTAATTTAACTATCTACATATAAGATTTTCCTCTGTAACATCCCTTTCCAGCTGTCCAATTTAAGCGATTTTCACGAAAGAGGCGTAATTTTAAAACTTATAATCCAGCGAACCTGCGAATAGTAACGAACAAGTTTAATTGTCTTCAGGGTTTTGCTCCTCTTTCACTTCAATTTCTATAGTTCACTTTCAAAGATCCAGTGTTGCTGACCAAATTTCTTGACAACTGCTTAAAAATGTGTATTGCAATATACCAGCTGGTAATTGTTGTTTGTTGATGTATAACCACAGTCAGACTGGATACAGTCAGTGAGAGATGAAATAGTCTTTAAAATAAATTTTTAATTTGCTACTTTTTTAATAATTGCAACCTGATTGAGGTAGGTAAATCTCTCACTAATCTTTACGTTGTTGATCTAGATCTTTGAAAAAGGGCGTTGCATTATTATTTTTACTTTGGAATTAAGTTTTGAACTCTATTATAATGTGCGATTTGCACCTAGGTCCCATTGTAATTAACAGAACAGTGATTCTTGATTTTCCAGTTGATCCTACTTCTTCTTTTGTGTCCTGCCACTCTGGCTGGGCACATGGAGACACTGTATTCCTGGAAGGCGGTTGACTTTGTTTTTCCCTCGGAGGAAATCAGGACCGAAAGTCTCGCCAACGGAGATTTCATTCCTGAAAACAATCTGATTATCGACGTTGACACATGGGCAGGTGAGTGAATTTACAATGTTTTTATAGGCCTACATTAGAGTAAGCATTTGAAAATGACTGCCTCTTTACAGTTACATTGTCAATTTTCCTTTTAGCTATGATGCAGGTTATATTTTTGGGATGTACAATTTCATGGTGAAGTATATTTGCTTTGAGACATTTCTTCAACTTCTTAATTCTAATAATAAATGTAACTAAACACGGATCATCTCACACTATTCTACACTCATCTTTCACCACTCATATTTGGATTCAAATAAGCACCACAGTGTCATCCACATTTCAAATGATGATGACAATGATAATAAAAATTATAATAAAAAAACCTTACATCTTACAGGTATAGCTATTTTTTAGGGATCATGTTCTAGATCTTCTTCGTTGATAGTTATGCTTTGAGTTCATAAAAAAAAAAGTTTTCAGATAAATACCGAGGTACCTTTTGATTCAATTTATCTTGTAACTATACGATTTTTAAAATTATCATGACCAACTAGAATTATTTAGCCTCTGATATCATTACCACCTCATATACTACAATACTACCTATAGATTCATCATTCATGAAGACAATTTTAAGAAAATCAGTCATACAATACAATACAATATGCATCAGATAAGAAGGCTTGCAGTATACAGAGTCAATGGGCGTACTGGTGTCATTTTTGAAATTATGAGGCACAAAATTATGATAAAGTAGTGGAAACGTTTTGTTCTTATCTACCAGGTGCAAGTTGTAACTGCACCTAAAGTATGCAAATTGTATATGTTAACAGTACAAGTATGACACTGCTAATTGTTAGATTGTTCAGAATTGTGTAATTTATATTCACATATTTTGTGAAAAGTGTTTTAATGTGATATCTAAGATACTAACTAAAAAAATGTTGTTTAAGATTAAGAACGAAACTTAATGATACTTCTTACACTAGGTTTTGCTAATAAGTAAAAAATAATAAAATAAGTGAAAATTTTGCTAATAAGTAAATTTAACAGTGAAAGTAATGACAACTTTCCTACAGTGCCACTCATCCTTCACTCATATTTGGGTGAAGGATTTGGGTGATAAATACGCACATAGTGGCGTCCCCATTTAAATAATTGATAATTGAATTGAATTGATAACTTCTAATCCAATAACCTATCATAAACATTCCAACATTTCTATCCGCATTATTAGACAATTTGTTTCTGAATCTACTTTGTTACCACACACTCTTTCCATTATTTAATTTTCGTTTGTAATAAAAATCAGGTTTGTACAATTTAATTATATCTTTGCTCATACACGAGTGGGCAGTCCACCAGGAGGAGCAAGGGACAGTCATTAACACTTTTATTTATAGTTAACATTGGTACATGAACTCTTTTTAGGTTTTTAGGAGGCGCAAGGAAGAGAAAAATCCCACCACAATGCAATGGAGAGGGCCGCAATTGTCTTACGGACCCATAGCGCATCACATGCAAAACACAGGCCTGAAGTTTAGTGAAATAATCAATATAAAACAAACAATATTTACTATTTCAGAACATGGAAGGGACCGGAAGATGTTTGTCACAATGCCCAAACTCAAGGTAGGGGCTCCAGTAACCCTTGCGATGGTGACAGACCAACAACGAGATAATGTGACTCTCCTACAACCCTACCCGGACTGGTCGTGGCACCAGGGTGGCTGTGATGGGATAAACTCTGTGTTCCGGACTCACGTGAGTTATCTGGATGTGTAGTAAGTTAAGGTTTTAGATCTACTTAATAACTCCCAGAGACATCAAAGTGGTAAAACAGTTACTACAAGTCTGTTCACAACATTTAGACAGTATGTAAGGAAGCTTACCCACGACATCTTTTCTTAAATGTATTTTGTAACTGATTGACGTTTTGGCAAACCTTAGCTGTTGAGCTATTGTTTTAAATTTAGTATCATGTGGAGGGGGAAAATGTCTTCCCCTAAAACCGCCTAAATTTGGTGAACGGAGTATAGTATTAGGTGACCTATTAGGATGACTATACTAAGATATGAGTGTACATAGTGAACTTCAGTGAAGTGTTAACCATGTGTATAAATACAAGTAGATCTTGATAATCTGATAGATGTGGACCTACAGAGTCAGATTAACAAGAATTTCGAATTACCAAGGGTACAATGCTAAATACCTATAATCAGAAGGAAAACAATAAAAAACATTATTTCATAAAGATATAAGCTATGTAATGTCATTGTTGGATGGCCCACCAGAACTAACAATTAGAAATACCCCCGCAGCAGCAAACCTGCAGCATAAGAGAATTTCCATTTGCCTATGATTATAATTTTACTAAAATATCTTCTTAAACATGTCAGATTTATTCCCTATTAAATAACAATAGTTTAATGAGTTAAATGAGTTAAATGAGTTTAATGAGAACATGGGTTTGCTGCTACACGAAATTCAATTGTGTGTTATTTAGTAAAATATTAAGAGTTTAGTACGAATTAAATTAATGTTTCAAATTTGATCAAAATACTTCAATTAACAAGAAAACTACAGCAGTTTACTTTTCTTCCCCTAAAATATCATGGGTAGTAGCATTTTCAAGTTACAAATATATGATGGACCGGCTACATATCCTCCGTTTCACAATTATTATACACATCTGGTTCACTTTATTCTGTTTCATTTTCATATATAATTTCCTCTGTTCCCCAGGTGGACAGGTGCGGAAGGCTGTGGGTTTTAGACTCTAGTGTTATCAACGTTTTCACCACCTTTGAGAGAAAATGTCCCCCGCAAATATTGATCTTTGATCTCCGTACAGATACTCTTATCAGTAAGTTTACATTGTAGTCTCATATAATAAAGTAGAGTCATACAGTTTCATTTGACCCAGAGAAGATATGAATTGATGAATGACTGCAGATACCTATCCTTACAGGTTTTTAATGGGGAGTTAATTTGAGAAAGCAAACCTGTAATAACCATTGCTATGTTAACCATTACCGTAGCTATTATTAGCATTGAATGAGTTTAATTACTACTGTAACAAGTACAGTAGGTCTATGTGGTTTGAACTAAAACTTTTACAGGTATTGTGAGTTATCTTAGAGCTTTTAAATATATTTAACTAACATTTTCTCGGGGTTTTCCTAACCCAGCAAAAATAAGTTTAATTAACAGATTAATGTCTGAGGCTTTAAATTTATAGTTTTAGTAGATTATGAATGTTTATAGTCTTAACCTTGTGTTTTTTTCCAACAGAGCGTTACAGGATCTCAGATTCTGACCTGGACCATAGAAATCTTCTTCTCAACATCGCTGTAGATACAAGAACTCCAGACTGTAGTGACGCTTTTGCTTACATCTCTGATGCCGTGTCCTACAAGCTGATTGGTACTTATAGTTGAATCAATCACAAATCCTGAAACGTAAAAGTTGTATTCTGTAAAAAAAATTTTATCTAGTATGCCTACTAAAAGTATAGGTAGTAGTTGACATCCAATCTCCAAGCTAAAATTGTAGCCATTTTTAGACTTAACCGAACACTGGTTGAATAAAAGAAAAAACCAGTAACCTTGGTTGAAAACTAAACACAGTTGTAATCTATCATCGGGCTTTTAATAAACTGTCCTGTCCAAAGAAATAGTTGATCTTATTTAATAATAAAGCTTTTTAGTTCATCTTGTCTATTCTATCAAAGATCAAAGGTATCTTGCATTCTTTTGTTCATCTTCATCAAACTATGCATTGATATAAAACTTGTAATTTGCTGTCTGTTACAAAAAGTCTGTTGCTGTCTTCATTATTAATGAATCAACTAAGGGCTTGGGAATTTCACTCACAATTTAATACTTTTCATAGAATAAAATATATAAGAGATATTCTCAGTAGAATAGATAGAAAAATGAATTTACCTTTGCTTCATAACATCAATAAGTATTTTGTCGATGTACAAATTTCAACTAACGATAATAAAAAATGTAAAGCATATTACCTCAAAACATCAATACAAAATAAAAATTATGGAAATTAATTTAAAACAATTAAAACTAAATAAAACATTAAAAATTACCTCATTTGATCCCTGAAGGGCTATTGATGTTTGTTGAAATTATGGGAGACATAATGGTCCCATGACATGAGTGGTTAAAGTGCTCGCTTGACAATCAGAAGGTCACCGGTTCGATCCTGAGAAGAAGTAGGAAGCTTTTTGATGGCTTGAAACTTGACCAGCTGTCCCTGATAATTGGGCTTTAAATAAAATGATCCTGACGAAACAGCCGATCTTAGTCAGTAACAAAGCTACACAGATCATCCCACAACATTCTACACTCATATCTGAGTTAAAATACGCACCTAGGTAGGTTTCCCATCTTATAATGATAATGCTATAACAACACGAGTTTGATTCATGTGCTAAATTGATTTATTACATGACTGTATATAATTTAAACAAAATACAGTGTAGTATTTGGTTGTTTCTTTTATAAATATAATTCAACATATAAATAAATAAATCCGTACAAATAGTTTTAATTTTATTTCCAGTGTATGACTCCGCTAAAGACAAGTCCTGGAGAGCCTCTGGGGACTGTTTTGGTCCTTACGAAGAAGCCTTAAAATTCCACACTGCTGATAAACACTACAAGCTCAACTTTGGAATGTTCGGCCTAGCTTTGGGTTTGTATGAGTTTAAAGGGTGAAAACAGAAATGGGTCATTATAAAAATGTCATACCTAGTCAAATTAAGCCAACAAATAAAATGGACGGATACGTTAAATTTTGTAGCTTCTCCAGGATTTAAAATTAAATCTTTCGTAAAGCTTAATTCCAGGTGCTAACAAATTTTGTCTTTCTTATATTCTCTCTTTTAGCTCACATTATTTGTGAATAATTTTTCTATCAATAGAAAAAGACTGTACTCAAGTGAGTTAGTTATTTCCCTATCCTTTCCTCGATGAATTCCTAAGCAAATGAGCTTAAAATACTTTATTTCAACAGGCAGAGCTACCACAAGACCTGTCGTACGCTTAAGTTGCATACATGTATTACAAAAACTGTTTTTATACTCCTAAATTAGCCTACAGTACTTACAAACAGTGGTGTAGTGGATCTCTGTTTCTTTCACAAAAACCTATATAATGGTTAGCGAATCATATTCTAAATTGGAAAATGTATGACTAACACCACTGCTTACAAAATGACTCGCAAAATCAGTCAGCGATTACGCAAGTGCAAAATCTCTACTGGAATGCAAGGTCTAGTAAACTTAAAAACTATCACCAATGGCAAATATTTCAAAAACTCGTTACTACCATTTAAACTCTTAAGTTTTTACTACTCTGTTTGGCAGGTCCTCTCCGCAACAACGGTGACCGCACCCTTTACTTCCACAGTCTCACCAGTGTAAAAGAGTCTTGGGTAACGACCTCTGTCCTCCGCAACAGTCAGCTGTTTCTCGAGGACCCTGACGGAGCTGCGGACAGCTTCCATGAGTTCAACGCCACCAGAAGTTCACAATCTGCTGCCGAGGTGGGTTGGTGTCGTCGACGTTAACAGCACTCGTTGATAGCAAAAGTAACTGTTGCTTGTCAACTGTTTCAATCACATTACTAGTTGAGCAAAAGTTTGCCATTTACTTGTCAACTGTTATAATCTTTACTAGGTAAGAAAAAACTTAACTGCTGCTTGTTAACTATTGTCATCAGCATACAGTGAAAGCAAAAGCAACTGTTGAGTTATTTATTTAATTGGACGAAACGAAGTGAAGACCTCACTGTCAGCCTATAAAAATTCCATGCTAAAACTATGTTAATAAAAGGCTCTTTTATTACAGCATTAAAAAATCTGATTCTTGTACCACGGATTTATTTTTTTGTGTAGTTCTTAATAAACTATATTCGAATAAATTTCGTGAATGTTTCCGATTTAACTTAACTCAATAAAGTTCGTTATTTGACACGTTTTTTTTTTGTTCGTTGGTGCCTCATTTGACTAGCTAAATCAAAATCACTAACACTAAATCAGCCGTCGTCTGCCATGAAATTACCAAAATATTTTTGTTATGTGTTTAATGTTTATGGTAATTCTGAGCAATTACTTGGTCAACCCCAATTTTTTTCATATTTTACTACGGTCATCAGGAGGTTCTCAGAAAGCAAGAAACATATAATTCAAGCCCCGCAAGGTTAAGTTAGGTTAGGTTAGGTTAAGTTAGGTTATTAATTAACCTAATCTAACGTAACGGTACTGTTACAATTGGCCTTAGAGATGTATTTGAGACTAAAAAAAACATAATAAGTTAGGTTAGGTTAGGTAAGGTTACTCGGCGCTTGGCAACATGTACGATGGCCTTGCGGGCCTTGAATTATATGTTTCTTGCTTTCTGAGAACCTCCTGATGACCGTAGTAAAATATGAAAAAAATTGGGGTTGACCAAGTAATTGCTCAGAATTACCGTGTTTACATTCAACATTGTTTTTTAAGTTAGTAATTTCATTGATTTAGTTGCTGTGATTTCAACTTTTATTTTATTAAAGTCGGGTTTTTTAAATTTTTCTTGCGTTACATTAGATCTATAAATTCTTTTACTTACTCTATGATTGAAACTATGTTTAACTTACTGTATTTGGAAATAATGAAAGAGACTTTAAACCAAGCACAGACTTCTTTCATAGGTGGTTTTATCTACGCTTCTATTCTCAGATATCAGTCTAAAAGAAATCGTAGTAAGTGTTATGACTGTTACAAAATAATAAGCGGAAAGTAAATAAAAGAAACGTCTTATTATTACATATCCTTATATTATTATTATATTACATATCCTTTCTTACAATTCTTTAAAATATCTAGACTATCCTCCATTTTTCCTAGTGAGTGCCCATTTTGTAACAGGTGTTGTGCGACATTTGATCTTTCCGGTTTGTTGTTCCTCCACGCAGATATGTGGTTTTTGAAGCGGTTTACGAAGTTCACAGTCTGTCCAATGTAGAAGCTATCACAATCGTTACAATTGATTTTATAGATTCCCGAAGTGTCAAATTTGTTACAATCTTCTATTTTTGGATGCAGTATTTTACTCATGGTGTTCTGAGTCCTGTAGGCTATTGAAACTCCGTATTTCTTGAATCTGTTAGCAGTCCTTTGTGTTGTAGTCCCCGTGTAGCTAAATGTGATATATCTGGTGCTTTCCTCTTTTATATCTTCTAATGTTGTTCTGCTGTGTAGTATATTCTGTCTATCGATTTTTCTCCTCGTCTTCCTTGCGATGTCCTCTATCGTCTTGGTTCGAAATCCATTCACTTGGGCGATCTTCATAATGGTGTCCAGTTCTTTTTTCCTATTGGCTTGGCTAAGTGGGATCTTATAGGCTCGGTACAGCATAGATCTAAAGGCTGCGGTCTTGCGGATTGTCGGATGGATAGACTTGTTGTTGATTGTAGTGTCCGTTTGCGTAGGTTTCCTGTAGATGTCAAACTCTATCTTGCTGTCTTTTCTCTCTAATGTGAGGTCCAGGAAGTTGATCTTTTTGTTTTCTTCAAACTCGTTGGTAAATGTGAGGTTTGGGTGGTGGCTGTTTAGTGTCTGCATCATCGTTTCGTGCTCCTGTTCCTGGGCTTGTCTGAAGATAACAAGAATGTCGTCTACATATCTAACATACAGTTTTACATCATGATTCTTTCTTAAATTCATTAATATTTCTTTTTCCTGGTGCTGTAAAAATATTTCTGACAAAATTGCCGAAAGTGGACTTCCCATAGCTAAACCATCTGTTTGTTCATAAAATCTATTGTTAAATCTAAAATAATTTTGCTTCAAAACAGTCACAAGCAATTTTACAATCTGATTGACATATTCATCGTCTAAACTATTCTGCAAAAGCCTACATTTAACAAGATCTACAGTTTCTGATACAGGTATGTTTGTGTACAGATTTGCGATATCAAATGAGACTAGCCTACTATTCGAATCTATATCTATGTTCTTTACACGTTCAACAAATTCATAACTATTCTTTACATTGTATACATATTCTAATTCTAAATCATTGCTGAGCTTACTTGCTAACAATTTTGAAACATTGTAGGTAGGAGCACATTTAAAGTTAACTAATGGTCTGATGGGTACATTCTTCTTGTGTATTTTTGGGATCCCTTTCATCACGGGCGCTTTAGAATTTAGGATGTTCATCTTCTGTCGACATTCTTCGGGAATCACTCTGGTGCATCTCTTCACGACGTCGGACAGCTCTCTTTGGTACCTCTGCGTTGGATCCTTTTTCAGCTCTTTGAAGTTATTTTCTTTGATGAAATCTTCCGTCTTCTTTATATATTCTTCTTTTCCGAGCACTACGATGGCGTTGCTTTTGTCTGCTTTCACAACGATTGAGCTATTCTCTTCCAGCTTCTTCTTTATATTGTTGCATGTCTTCAGTTCTTCATTTCTGCTGGGGTCTATGGGTCCTATGCTGGTGAAATCGTTAGCTGTCACTTCCTTCCGAACGGCATAATGGTCTACGTTTCTGAGTGATTTTACATTTGCTTCGACTTCAGTAGCTAGTAGTTCGTTTTCGTCCTTCTTCTTCATTGGGAAATTGTACTTCATTCCGTAGTTCAGTATTTTCGTTTCCTCTTCACTGAATTGAATGTCTGTAAGGTTGATGACTCTCTTCTGGAATTTGTGTTCTGTATTGGTCCTATCCAAGTCTTCATTAGGTGTATTATTCTCTACGAGTTTGTATAATTTGTCGTTTATCCGTAAATATTTCCGGTCCATGGCGTCTTCAACCTCTTCACTGACGACTTCGTGTAGTAAATTCCATGCAATTAGTCCGTATAATCTCAAAAATTGTAGGTGGATGTTGTAGGCAATCTGGTTCAGTTCTTCTTTTTCACAGTAAAGTTGTTTGATCATATTTTTGATGAATAATACCTCTCCTTGTTCCTTGGTTCTTTTAGCGGCAGTGGTGTTACAGTTGACCTTGATTTTAGCGTATTGTGGTGTAATTCTCTTCCTGATACATTCTTTGTTGAAGTAAACATCTGCAATCTTCGTGGAAATCTTGATTCTTGTATCCCTATATTTTGCTGCTAACTTTGCTTGACTAGCTTCACTAAATAACTTCTTGATCAGCATTGTACGTGTTATTAAATTTACGGAAAGTAAATAAAAGAAACGTCTTATAACACTTAAAACATATATTTACGCTTATACTGTTACTCACAAGACGGTAAATATACAAAAACGATGGTAAGTGGTGATCGATTTCGATTGGACACTCCAATCATCATCAGACCTATAGGCGAATGACAAGAATCTTGAATGGCGTCCCTACTTATACCCTATTGGCTACCGGAAGCACCGGCCAATACATTTTTATAAGTACAACTGGAATCAAAATGTATTTGTTCATTAATCAACTTATTTCTATCTTTACATTTTTCCTTATAAATATACAATTCTTCCCAAGCATTCATTACATATCCTTTTTTACAATTCTTTAAAATATCTAGACTATCCTCCATTTTTCCTAGTGAGTGCCCATTCTGAAACAGGTGTTTATTTATTTATTTATTTGTTTACGGTATAACACCATTTTTACAGGGTTGACATAACAGGGTTGACATGCTGATCAGATACAATATTGAAAGATCCTAATTAAATTTTCTTCCCTTCTGCCTTTTCTCATGCTCTTTTACTTTTTTTGTTTTTTGCAGGATTTATTAAAAGGCAGATAGGGACTAACATCACATGCTAATGGAAAAAAAAACTGGTTGAATAGCAAGCATAACAATGGATAGAATTAGGTAACAATAACAATCGATAAATACTACAAGAAAACATGCGACTAGATAACAGAAAGATAATACATACATCAATTCAATACTAACATCACATGCTAATAGAAAAAGAAAAACTGGTTGAATAGCAAGCATAACAAAGGATAGAATTAGGTAACAATAACAATCGATAAATACTACAAGAAAACATGCGACTAGATAACAGAAAGATAATACATACATCAATTCAGTACTAACATCACATGCTAATAGAAAAGAAAAACTAGTTGAATAGCAAGCATAACAATAAATAGAAATTTGGAAACAATAACAGTCGATAAAATACCACAAGAAAACATGCAACTAGATAACAAGAGAGATAAAACTACATCAATAGTACAAGCAATATCAATAAACTAGTGACAGACGGCAATAATGACTAGGGAGCATTGATAAGGAAGCATTGACAGAGAATTAAATTATTACACAAGACCTGTACAATTAAATCACAGCAGAACGAGATTACTGTTCCTCAAGAACCGAAGACGCAATCCTCTTGACAACCCGTGGACAGCAGTCAAAGAAGTCCACATAATGACAGAGCCGATTGCCGAGTCGATGCAGTCTAGGCAGAGGGCTATAAAGTTCATAGTTCGTGGAGCAGTGTTGGCGAGCAAACAGCACATTGGAACGAGTGGATCTAGGTGGGGAAACATGCAGGTCAATCAGCGCAAGCAGATCAGGACAGTTGAT